ATAAAGTCAACTTTGTCTCAGTTGCTCTGAAAGCTGTAATGGGTCATACAGTGGAAAAACAGAGCTAGGTATCTAAATTTGCAGTAATTTACACAAACTGTTTTGAAACTTGCTGCTTTGTGAGCCACAAACATTCAGTCAGGATCTGTGACTGGGTTCACAGATTAGAACTACCTCCTTCTTGCTTCCCACATCAGCTGCGGTCTCCTCATCCTGGGGTGCTTGCTACCCTGCTCCAAAGCTGGAGGGACACAGTGCGGGGGGGAGCCCTTAATGGGGCAATATGTCTATAACCTCTTTTTTCACCCAAGCCTTCTGCCGACAGCAGAGACGAGACTTGCTGAGTGGCTGCAGCTCATAGTCAGCAGTGATACTATGCCTCCCAAAGTCACCCTAACTACATGAACAATTAAGAGTAGGCGTGTTCATTGAGCCCTGTTCCTCCTCCCACCTTTACAATACCCACATTAACAGGGACAGCAAAATCCACCCAAAGCAGGATTTTTAATACTAACAATGGTTTCAATGTATTCTAACCAATAAAATAACTTTAACAGAAGGAAAATAGAAGCTCTAATGAGAGAGCTGAATCAAAAAGAAAAGCAGTAACAAGCAAGACGACATGGTATAGTTTTACATAGCTTAAAAAGGAGGCAAGGAAACACAAGCTGAGACCTCTGAAGAGGTGTTGAAAAAGAATTTATTTTAAAAGATTTTATTATTGATAGCAGGTCCTGAGCCTGGAAGCCAGAACCACTTTGTAGCAAAGAATAAATACACAAACCAGAGACCTAAGGATAGTCTATCCTTTAAGAGGAGAGTAAAAAAAAAAAAAAAAAAATTAAAAAAATCATTGATTCATGCTAGAAAAATCCTGCTTCATTCAATCAAGGAAGCCTATCCTTTAGGTGAACTTTATGCTAAGGAAGGGAAGAATATTCTGCAAGGAACAGACATGAGTGAGCAAGAATCCCTCTAGCATGCTAGGAAGAGAGCTGAAGAGATTCCCCATTATCACTGTGGAGATCCCTTCTGATCCACAAGAAAGACCTTCAACGTAAGTCATCGGCAAGTTAAATGGTACAAATAAGAAATTCTGATTTATGGAAGAAGCCCATCTTTTATTGGCAGTTTAATGGCCTGCATCTTAGTAAAAGGGAAATTAAAGAACAGGAGATCATGCAGCCAGTCAGAAATATACTTTTAAAAAAGGTGCTCGCTTATCCATTTGGTTTAAATAAATAAATAAATAATCACAAAGTTGCAAGATATCTGCCAAACAGAAGTCTTTTTAAATACAAAGGTAAAACATCAAAAGTAAGCAACTTACCTTGTCTGAGTAGGAACTAAATGTACTAGGTATTACCAAAGCCAGAAGAATTGGATACATGGCTGGACAGAAAACAGTTATCTTACTCAGAAAGAATTAACTGAACCCTCAGACAAGGAGATAACCAGCATTATCAAAAATAGCATTAACAATTTGAGTTATGCTAAAGGTCTAAAATCCCACATGCTCAGAGCCTGATGTGTTATCAGACAAAGCTACTGCTAAACAGGTATGTGCTTATACTGCGTAGAAATCATAACAGAGGGTAAGAAGCCTGATTCCTCACATGCCCATGAATAGAATACTGGAGGAAGCTCTGTTAGCATTACGCCAGCCTGAATGACATTCACTGTATCTCAGACTTCTTAACAGTAAAAGTCACCTCTGAAGCTTCTAATCAGCTGTTTCTTGAACTTACTGTTACAATCCAAGCAGGGCAAGTCTATTCAGTTTCATCTGATAAAGAAAAACTTTCACAGAACTTTGCACCAATTAAGATAAAATCACTTAAACCATATAAGAATATGCTGCTTAAAGTGAGGACCAGTGAAATAGCAGTGACTGTAAAACTGGCTACTTTTAAAAGTGAAATTAAACCAGATGTCAAACAACCTGGAAAGAAAACATAAGTTATATGTTAACAATTTAATTTGATTCACAGAAGCCACAGGGCATTTGATAAAATAGCCAGGGTTACAGAAAGTAAAGGTAACTACAGAAAAAAAGAGGGGAGAAAGTTAGTTGTAAAAACCAGAAATCTGTGAGAAGCAAGCAACCAAAAGAGGAACTGAGAAATCCATGGCTAAAAACTCAGAGACAGCAGG